CCTTTATGCATTTTCATCTTCTTTTCCCCTTCATTGAAGTAGTACATATCTTTTCTTGGGAGGGCTCCTCATTTTCCCTGCCCCTCCTATATTTATTGTCTGTCTTGTTTTTTCTTAGGAAATGAAAAATAACTGATTTCTAATAATGGCCAATAAGGAACTAGTTCCATTCTTATTCTGATGTACGAATTGTCAATGCAGCGGGCCATGGCGCATGTTTTAACCATTTAAGCTCAGATGTAATCTAGCTGGTATGGTAGATATAGGGCTTGCTCCAAAACAATTATTGAAAATGAAATGTTATGAGCTTGACAAGTAGTTCTGTCAAAATTCACTTACCTGTCTATTTTTTTATTTGTGAATTGCTTTGAAAGTGGCAATATCTCTTAGATCATAATTTCTGCATCTTTACATTGTTTGGACCACTCCGATGTATGAAGAACTCTATGAAGTTCATTGTGTAATTAGCATGCTTATTTGTATTTTTCAGTGAATCCTTGCTGAAATCAATGGCAATTTGTTGATACCTGACCCTGAGCATGTGTCTTGCATGATATTTATATATTTGCTGCCGAAGAAACTATAAGCGTAGGGGGCATCATTTAGCTTGCTGGTTGCTCTTGACTTTTTCAAAATTTGCATTGTAGCGTCTACTTGGGAGATCAGAAGCTTGAATACAGGCCCATCGTTGAATTCTGCTAGATGTCTTGTGATGCAAATGCTAGAGATTCACACTGAAGGCTGGTGGAGATGGAAGAGTAATCACTCATCAAAGTTTGAAAAGTCTGTGCCCTATGCACTGTTGAGCCAAGTGGCAGGTCCGTCACACTTTTTTCATTACTTACCCCTGCCTCTGTATCTACTGATTGGTTAAAGAATTTGGCAGTTTGGGACAAGAAAGGATGAGTAGTCTGAATCAATTGAATGCATGATCTGTATGAGAGAAGTTTATTCCCTCCCCTCCCAAAACCTAAAGTAGCCAAAAAAAAAAAAAAACAAAGGCTGGCACAAACATCTGCTCAGATTTTGGGAAACGTGGGGCTTATTGACCTTTACTTCTGGACTGAATTTTGTTTGCCAATACCATGCTTGCAACAAAAATGTCGTGTATTTGTTTTTTCAAATGTTGTTTGTTCATTTACATCAAGGGCATGGCCTATACAATAGGGGTAGCACTGCCACTTCTTATGGCTCCACCCCATTTCATATTCCTCCACCCAGAGTCAGACCCTATGTAGCTAGAAATACAGGTTAGGGTGTTTCACATTACATTTATTCGTATAATATTATTTTCTTTTGAGTTGTAGTAAATGAGCATTTCTTTTTTGCCCTTGTGATGCGAAAAATAAAAAATCTATTACTAAATCAAACCAAACCAAGCCTTATGTCCTAATCATTTGGGGTCAGTTATATAACTCCGTCTTCGCCATTCATTTCGATCATGCGCTATACACTTATTATTTTGTTCAATGCTAATTTAAGTCTACCCTTACTCTTAATACCATTAAGAGAAATTCTATCACTTTTTCTAACTGGTACTTTTATCGGCCTCCGTTGAAAATGACTAGTTCAACCAAATCATCTTAGTGTATGCTCTCTTAACTTATCCTCAATTGGAGTAACTCCTACTATTTTTCTAATGCGGTCATCTCGTATTCTATCATTTCTAGTTTTTCCACATATCCACCTTAACAGTCTCATTCTGCTACACTCATTTATCACTATGTTTTTTCCTAATTGCTTAACATTCTATCTCATACAACATTGCTATCCTTATGGCTATAAAACTTGCCTTGCAATTTTATTTGTCTCCTTCTCTCATATAATATGTCAGAAGTTTTCCTCTACTTAAGTCAACTGGCGTTGATTCTATCAGTTACATCGTCTCCAATATCTCAATTTTTAATGATCGATCCTAAATGTATAAATCGTTTACTCATTGGTATTTCTTGATTTTCAATCTTAATTTTTTCACTATGTCTACTTCTTTTATTATTAAAATTATATTTCATTTATTCAGTCTTATTCCTACTTATTTTATACCTTTTTGCCTCGAGTGTCTCTCTCTAAATTTTTAGCTTATTGTTAATCCCCTTTAAGTTTTATCTATTAAGATAATATCATCTTCAAATAGTATACACCATAGAACATCATCTTAATTGTGCCTAGTAAGTTCATCCATAATTAGGGCGAATAGGTATGGACTTACGACTAATCTTTGGTGTAATCCAACCGTGATTGAAAATTCTTTATTTTCTCTCGCGAAAGACCTAATTATAGTCATAACCCCGTCATATATGTCCTTTATCACCTCAATGTACTTATTTGTCACTTTTTTTCTCTCAAACACACTTCATATTATATTTCGAGTCATTTTATCATATGTTTTTTTAAGATCTATAAATATCATACGGAGATTTTTCTTCTTCTCTATACTTTTCTATGAGTGTCCTTAATAAATATATAGCCACCATAGTTGATCTACTAGGCATAAACATTGAATAAGAGGTACTAGGCATAAACATTGAATAAGAGGTACTAGGCATAAACACATTGATTTTCCAAAACTGTAGTCTCAACTTTTAGGCGACGTCTAATGACCCTTTCCCATAGTTTCATTGTATGACTCAACAATTTTATCCCTTTATAATTATTACAATTTTCAATATCGCATTTATTTTTATAGATATGTACTAAAATACTCTTTCTCCATTCATTAGTCATTTTCCTAGTAGCAATAATTCTATTGAATAATTTTGGTAAGTCCTTTACAAACAATTGCAATGTCACAGAATCGATCCTGCATGTACACAATTCCACAGGTCAAGCAAGGGTTGGTCAAGCTCGGGATTAAAGTAACATGCTGTTACATCTCCCCATCATAGCAGGCAGTGAAAATTCACTTTCAAACATCTTGTCACCACTGGAACAGGATTGAATGCGTGATTGATGTTAGCCTTTTACTGTTCAACTAACGAAATGAAGCCTTTCATGTGGGTTTGGGGGGAATTTGAATTTTTTCTTTATTTTTTTTTTAAAATTTGAAGAGAAAATTTGTTTTTTTTTTGGTGATACTGAACATTGATTGGTAAAGAAATTACTTTAGAAAAGAAATATAAATAGTTTCACGCACCAGAAGACGTTTGCTGAGGTTGGCATTGTAATTTGACATCCATTCTTGCAAAGATGAACCCAACGATATGGTGTTTTATCTTTCTTTTTCTTTTTTTAATGAGGAGCAATGAGCTGAAAGAGAAAACTCAAGAAACCGTTGGGAACCCTCAGAAGATTAATTTTTAGGTGATCTGAAATGGTACATTATAGTTTGAAATGGTGGTACAAGCTATCATTTTCTCAAACTAGGGGCACGAAGGGGATGCAGTTAAATATGACAACCATGCTCAATCAAAGTGACCATTTGCATTGTTACATTAATTAGTGTGACAAGAAAACTAAAATGTAGCATAACAGCCATCAATGGGGTAAATGGAAAATAAAATGTTTGCGTTGGTAATCTCAGGTAGTTTAAGTTTTATTGAGTTGAGCTTCAAAAAAGGAAACTGATTATGTTATATCTATAAATTTCATCATTTTGGAGTAAGACTCTGCTTGTTCTTCTTTTATCTTTGCATGGTTTTGAATGTTTTCATTCGTCATGTTTGTAATTGTCTTGCTACATATTGATGCTGCATCTGTGCAACTTTTTAGCTTCACTTGAAGGGGAAATAAGCATTATAACGTAACTAGTGAATCAGCCGCGCAACTGTAGTCTTCTAACACACATTCGTTAATTAAGAAAGAACCACAATCAACAAGTTAGCATGTTAAGGTACCTGAAATTATTCTGTCTGAGTAATTGAATAATGGGTTTTTGTATTGTTACCTGCAGAAGCAATACTTCCAATGTAAGCACAGAAAACCTGTCAATTAGGACAAGAGAAGTGGAAGTTTAATGGGATTGTATGGTTTTGGTGAACTGTGCTTCAAAGTTGTTTGGGCTGCTTCAGCAAAGAAGAAAGGTAGAGAAGGAAAGAAGAGGGATAGAAAGCATAGGTCTCACACCTAGGTTCTTGAGCCTCCCAACCAATAGAAGATGCATCACACATTGTAAAAAAATTATTTTGTTTTATTGCTACAGTTGAAACAATAAAAGTAATATTAGGTTAGAGGAAGACGAGAGCAAAAAGAGAGAAAAGAGAAAGAGAGGAGAAAAGGCTAAGAAAGAATAATCAGTTGTGTAGGCTATGTTACCCACTTGCCCTACACTCTCTTATTTATTATAAAACTGAAGCATGATTAATTACATTATGACCCTGTACTATTAATAATATACAATGAGAACTCTAAAACTACATAATACAAGCCAAGACAATGCATATATGGAAGACTTTTGACTTGGTGACCAACAGGAGTTGGTAGCTTAGTAATTTTTAGTGGCCAAGTTTAGAATTGGACCTCTCTAACTTTGAATTATACTTGGACCCTTATTCAAACCTAGCAAACCCATCAATTTCCCAAAATATGAAAAAGCCAATATGGCGGCTTCTTTTACCACTCAATGATGAAGTTACCCAAATACCCCTAACAACAGACATGCATAAATTATACACTAGCCTACTTGAGAAACAACAGATTTCTAAAAAAGTAGTGAATACTTTAGAATAACTTCGAAAATCCAGCTTTTGCATGGGTTTCATCTTGTAATTAAGCCAATTTTTCAGATTTCTTCTTTCTTGTAATTCTTCTTCCTTGGGCTTTTTACCCTGTGCATGAATTTCCCGAGTGGATTTCTGGAAAAAAAATGGCCCTTCCGTTGGTTGTACGGCGTATCAACCTTTTACTGAGCATAACGCCAAACAATCTGATAAAGAGTAAGATCCTATCTTGAGCTGACATTATTTCCTTCGTAGTAAGCTATGGAATGAAACTGTGACTAGGCACATTCTTTGCAAACCAAACCAAATTAGTGCACTGCATCAGTAAGTTCTCTGGTTATTCCCATGGTGATACTGGTGCGGAATCTACCATCAGCATATAGGAGTCCAAAAACTCTGGTCACAATTTGCCTTCCATTTGTTGATCCCAAGGTTGGAGTATTGCCACCAGTCCGCAAATTCTGGTTTCTGTGGAGATGGAATGACAAATTTTTCGGCGACGTACTTTTAACTGTGATTTTTATTGGTATTAATAAGGACTAAACAGATCCATTTTCTAGGGTTAAAAGCAAGGTATTAGAAGAAAGGAGACGGACTATCTTTTGTGTGAGAGACTACTCAAAGAAAATGAAAGAGCCAGATTTGATCTTTAGATTGATGCTTTAACCATCACATGGAGGGTTGGGGATGGGAAAGAAAAAGAAATAGAAGGTTGCAGGCGCTAGAATACAATCGCTTCTACTTCTCGAATCAATATGAGGGACCAGAAATCCCTCCTGACAGATTAGGGTTCAAAGCACCAATTGCTAGGTAATTGGAAAAAAAATTGTGGAACCAGCTCATGTAAAAGGAAAATAAAATGGGAAGAACATATTTTAAAGTTAATAAAAGGAAAGTTAATACAATTAAAAGGAGGGGTTGAAAATCCCTGTCAATGGATTGATGAAAATAATGACCGGTGATTTGTGCTTTTTTTATATTTTACTTTTTCATGAAACAGAGAATATGCATATGTGTGTGTTAGTATTTGTATGAGGTAGGAACTATTCATATCATGACATTCTCATGATTTGTTTTCTTACATGAGACGAGGACACAAATGATGGCTTGACAATATCTGGAAAGCCTTGTAAGCGTTGTTGTAGAAAGGCTGTCCCAAATGTTAGTTATCCTAACCGTGATGTAATTTTGCCCTTCTTGATGATTATTCAGGTCTGAAGGAATATATTGGAGCAAATCCGGCACTTACATTTGAATCTTCCACCACAGTTATCCAGTCAAACATATCTGATGTTTCTGGGTCTAATAGTGAATTAGGGGACTCAGAAATGGCAGATGAGTTCTATGATGCAATTGGTGCTGATTCATCATCTGAAGACGATGATAGTGACAATGATGTAGAACTCAACAATAAGGTTTTGTCTTTTATCTGCAACCCTTGTGTTAGGGATAGCAAACTTCAGTTTTTATGTATGAATGCCGGTATATTTATGCGCTAAAATTTGAATTTCATTTTTCTTATAGGACAAGAAAGTAAAGCTGAAGAACGTGTCATGGGCCATTACAGGCTTGGCTTTAGGGCGAACCTCAGGTCATCTTCTCTTTGCTAAATCCGTGTAAAAGATCAAGCCCATATCATTACTAGCATATATCATTTACTGCAGTACTGTTTTCTGTCGCCTAGTATATCCCACTAAATGTTTTTTTATCATTTGCAGCAGCTCCAGATGCAAATAAGCAATTAGATCCAAATGTGCACCCAATTATGCTCGATCCAAGCCATTTTCATGGTTCCTTGTGTCGAGGGAAAGATGAAGCTGATACTAACTGTTGGACTTCTCCAGGTGGTACTGGATTTATGATCAGAGGGAAAACATATCTGAAAGATAATATGAAGGTGGCGTTCACACACTCTTCAGTATCTATTTAGTGTGAGAATTTCTAGGGATAATGGAGTTATAGAACCTGATCTCTCTCATCCACCTTGAAGGTTCTGCCTGCTTCTTCTTTGTGCAATATGATTGAATTCTCTGAACCAATTAAATCACTAAAGATATCCTGTGATTCCTGTCAACTGCAACCACTATTAGAGAAAACAATAGATGATTCAAGTTTATTCTAACATATCTTAGCTTAAAAATAGGTTTTGCTGCTGCATATATTACGCCTTACAAAAGATCATGGTTCCTTTTTGTGAAACTTAAAGTTTCTGTGATAGTGAAGGCATACATGACAGAACCTTGGTTCTCGCAGAAGTAAGATGTATGAAGTTTTGATAATCACAATTCAAATTGTTTATACTATTTTACAGGTAGCAGGGGGTGAACCCCTTCTCAAGCTCATAGCAGTTGACTGGTTCAAGGTTGATGATTGCGTTACCAAGATTGCACTCCATCCCAAATGTCTTGTTCAGGTAACGAAAATAAATTTATCTAGATTTTATCCCAATGATGGCTGAAATTTTGCAGCAATATGATGGGATAATTCGGGGAACAATATCTGCACCAATTATTTAAATGCTGTTAGGTTAGTTTAATTTCTTAGGAGAATCCATGTTTTCTTTTCACGTTGTGACTCTTTGTCCCATAAAATTTTCGTAGTATAATTCTAGGAATCTTTATTCTCTGAATCATTACATTTTGTATTTTTCCAGTTATGTTGAAGCTTTTAAAAGAGACACTGTAGGTTGTATTTACATTTTGATATGTTTTTGACTTGTATCTAATCCAGAGCTGATTCCTGGATAGCATATAGTCTCAGGCTCTCTCATGATTGGAAAGGTTTTTTTTGAGAGAAGATTTTTTCCCAATTGATATGAAAGTAGTACTATATTAATTTTCCAGGACTCTTTGGCTCCCCCCCGGCGGCCAAAAGATACGTAAGTATAGGGATAGGGATATCACATCTCCCTCTCTCTAAGGAATTTTTTTTATATATGATTGAATAATGTTTCTGTGCTCTAGGATGAATTATCCATCTTAACGCAAGATATAACCAGTGGCCTGCAATATGCTGTCCCTAACTTCGTTGCTAGCTTCTCTAATTGACATGTTTGTTGTTGCCTAACCCCTCCCCCCGAAAAATTTCATCCTTTATAACCTCTTCTGTTACTGTCATGCTTAAAAGTCCAATCTGTTAAATCATTACACTTTTTCCTTTGGCCATTTTAAATAAACAAAATACACATTACTTGGTATGTTTTCTGCATCTCTTATCTTCATGCCATCCTGAATATTGTTTTCACCTGATATGGAAATGATGTAATCCTTTTAAGATATTTGAACTTTGATCCTAAGTTCTTGCAACTTGAGGATGATCATTCATATCTAACTTCATTTCCTATTCCCAGTCTGAAGCAGGAAAGAAGCTTCCATTCATCCTTGTTGTAAATCTTGAGGTATGGATAAGAATTTTATTGTAGTCTCTTTTTTTTTCTTTTGTATTTAATAATTAGATGACATGGATGAGCTCGGATTCATTTCTTCTATTTCCAATGTAGTGCCGTAATGATGAACAAGTTTTCATGTGATTGCTAAGCTGACTTACAAAATTTAACATAGTGTGAGCAAAATGCATGCTTGAGCTTATTGAATAATCTCTACTCCCTTGTTCAGGGAGCACAAGTAGGCCCAAGTATATACGTCATTGCAAGTTTAAATTGAAAACTGCTAGGATTCTTAAGAGTGGAAAAATTGTCATATCTGAGGAATTTATTTGCTTTTATTTTCACCAACCATAGTTAAATGTGAACGTTCTGATTGCTGATGAACTTAGACTCTTTATCAGCTGAGGTTTCCTCTACTTATAATTGAGAGTCTGTTGTTTTTCTTTTTTTATCCTTATGAGTTTTATGACTCTAGAAGAAATGCATTTTGGTTTCATTGTCTCAGGTTCCAGCTAGACCCAATTACAGCCTGGTACTGTACTATGCTGCTGACAGGCCTGTAAACAAAAATTCATTGCTGGGTAAATTTGTTGATGGGAGTGACATGTTTCGTGATTCAAGGTTCAAACTGATTCCAAGTATTATAGAGGTATCAATTGCTTCCACATGCATTCTTAGTATATGCATGGTTTGTTTGTCAGAATTTTTATGGTACTGGCATCTAATGGCTTTACCAGGGATATTGGATGGTCAAGCGTGCAGTTGGAACAAAAGCTTGCCTGTTAGGGAAAGCAGTAACCTGCAACTACCTTAGACAAGACAATTTTCTGGAGGTAAACTTCTGTGATCCTTGAAGTTTGATTGCCGGTGCATATACATTTTGTACTTTTTGTCACTGGAAGTGCATCGCTTGGAATGGCGAATACTAATTTAATGTTATGACACTGAATGTTCAGTGGGTTAAAAATGAATACAAGAACAGGTTGTGTACTATCACTGATGGTTTCTGGCATTCTACCCTTTGCTTGCTCCTCTCCTTTCTCTGCAGTTCCTATTTCTTTCGTCCTTCTAGTTCTTTTTCTCTTTTCTGTCTTACCTCGTTTTGTAACTTCTATCTCATAGCTGCTTTTTCTAATTGTCGTAAAACATTCAATTGGTATCTTTCCATTTCACCTAATTGCGAAGTTTGCTATATAGAAGGATTTCATGAATATTCATGTGTTATTCTAAAATCAAGATCAATTACCATAAATAATTAGGCACTTCAATGTTTCAGACATTAGATTCTGGCATGATTACGTGAATTTGTATAAAGCAATATGTTGTTTTTTCTGTCAGATAGCAAAAACTGGTTTAGTTGGAACATCACACATCATTGGTAATTTGGTATTATAGCATTTCAGTTCCATCATAAAGCATGCCACATGCCACTGATTGCTATTTTGTCATACTATGTTGTTTTCTGTTGGTGAAAGAATTTCTTTATTTATATTTTTTTGGTTGGCTGGCCAGGTAATAAATATGCCGCTTAGGGCACCCAACTAATCCTGGGGTCAGATTTTCTTTTCTTTTTTTGGTTGGGCTCATAGGGTCATACTTGGGCCTTCTAAAGCTGCCGATTGATTCTCTGAACACATGCAATCCCGTGGTCCCGTACAGATTGGCCTTTTACTCGGATAAATTTTAATGTTCGTGTAGAATGTTAGGTTATTTCAATTAGGGGTATTATTGTAATCTCCACTTTATTATGAGTTAATACAAATATGGGTGATGAGAGAATAGGTTGTTAACTCTCATTCTCCTAAACCCTATTTGCTGGTTTCTTTCTTCTGTTCTCACTTCTTGCCTCTTCTCATTCTAAACCCCAAGATTTAAGATATTTAGATTTCAACTTGGTATAAGAGCCATCAAACGAAAATTCAACATCACTGGAACATTCCGGAAGGCACGGGAAGCTGCTGGTGTCACTGACTTCATTGTCAGAATGATGATGTCATCTCTGGAAGTGACCAACTCCGACATGATCGAACTTGGTTTTGTCTCTTGAGAATGATGGTGATTTTTCTGGAATTTTCTGAAGCCATATGAGATATCTTTTTGAATTTTGAATGTTTTTTGAATTTTTTGGGTCGTATTTCATGATCCGCGATTTGACCGAGTTCTAGGCTATTCCAATGGCCCTAGTAGAACTATAGGTGCTGACTAAGCCTCCATGGAGCTTTGGTGGACTTCCGAGGACTGCCAACTTCTTTTCTAGGCATTTATTGGCTTTGGCAGTTGTTTTTTGAGCTCTGACAGCCCTTGTTCTCCTCCGACAGTGTTACACTTTTGCTCCAGTTTAATGGTATTTTGCTCTGAAAGTGGTGTTTCTTGCTCCAACTGTGGCAAGTTGCTCTGGGCAGTGGTGCTTTGGCCCCAACAGTCGATCTCTGGCCCTCCCATTCCTTCAGCAGTGACATTTTTACCTTCAGGCTTGGACTTTAACCTTTTTTTTTAATATTTATTGCATCTGTGAATTTTTTTTTTGAGGGAAAGCTGCTAGGTTTTGTTGTTTGCCTTTCCAGTTGTCAATTTGGTTTTTTTTTTTCGTGTTGGTTAATCATAAAATTGCTACTCAGTAGTTGGGTTGTGTTAGAAAAAAAAATCTATTGCCAAGGAGACTTGTATGGAGTTGGTGAAGAATCTACTAACATTGAGAAAAGTTGGGTAAGTCATGTAGGGACTCTTGGATGTAGTCTTTCTCTCCTTATCAGTCTAGTAAAATTAGACAGGGGCAACTATTTGATCTGGTCTCGATCATGCTTGTTATCGGTGCGGGCAAGTGGGCTAAATGAACACTTGACAAGAACAAGTAAGAAATCCAAATATGTACCTGATCTAACTAGTGGATCTCGGAGAACTCGTTGGTGCTGACATGATTACTCAACTCGATACAACCTCATATTAGTTGTGGTTTTTTGTTTCTTGAGATAGCCAGTGAGATTTGGTCAATAGCAACTCAAGGATATTCACAAGTCGAGTTCAATGCTCAGATTTATGAGCTCTGGAAGAAAATGTATTAAACCAAACAAAAGGATCACAAAGTACTACGTAAGATTGATTAGTCTGTGGCAGGAGCTGGATTATTAGCAAGATTTTCAAGCAAGCTATGTAGGAGATGGTGGTAAGTTTCAAAGGTTGATAGAAAAAGAATGAGTATATGATTTTGTTGGTCTCAATATGGAGTATGATCAAATCTATATACAAGTTTTTGGTAGAGATCATTTTCCTTCCTTGAGCTTATTCTTATGTGAAGTTGGAGGAGAGTAGGAAGAGTGTCATGCTTTATACTCCTACTTATGATCAGTCTGCTCTTGTAGTTGTTCCACAGAGAGAGAATAGATCCTTTTAACCTCGTGGTAATGGTAAAAATGAGAGCATAGAAAAGAATCTTTTAAAATGTGGCTACTGTGGAAAGACGAAGCACACTAAAGACCATTGTTGGAAGCTACATGGTTGTTCTTCTAGGGGGCATGGTAGTAATAGGGTTAGTCCTATGGGCTTTCATACCTATAGGACTGAGATTGCAAATCCTAATCCCAATGCTCCATCTCTATCTACTGGTACTGATAGTGCAAGATCCAATGTGGATGAGATGTAGACTTTCAGGCATCTGACGACTCAACTTGATATTTCTTGTGCATTTGCTTCCACTTCCACTTCTGCTACTTCTAACTTTGCTCAAACAAGTATACATGCCAATGCTTTTATTGCATCTTGTTCCCCTAATCCTTGGATTGTCAATTCCGGAGTCACTAATCATATGACTGGTTCCTCAAGTATTTTCTCCTCTTCTTCTACATGTTGTGGTAGAGATAAAGTTAGGGTAACAAATGACTCATTGTCATCTGAATCAGAGAAATGTTTCATTCATTGTTCTCCTTCTATGTCTTTGTCTTCAATTCTTTGCGTCCTTAATTTTTCTACCAACTTACTCTCGATCAATAATATTACAAAGTCTCTAAACTTTTCTGTAACATTCTTTTCGTCTCATTGTGTTTTTCAGAAATGGGGAGAATGATTGACAATGGCAGAGCTCATGTTAGTTTATATCCACCGGAGGATCAACCTTGTCAGGCACTTTAGGCTTCTAGTTTTGTGGCCTTCCAACAGTTACATCAATGGCATCGAAGACATGGTCATCCATCAATAAGAGTATATGTTATAAGAACTTATATGTTGATGAAACAATATAATAAAAATATTTTTTTTTGTGATGCATGTGAATTGGCAAAGCATACAAGAACTTCTTATCTAAGTAATAATACTAGAAGCACTGTGCCGTCTATGATTGTTCATTCTGATATTTAGAGACCATCTAGTGTTGTTTATCTTTTTGGATATCGATGATTTGTTACTCTCATTGACTGGTACACTCGAGTTACTTGAGTTTATTTATTGCATAACAAGGATAAAATGTTTGTTTGTTTCAAGAATTTTATAAACTGATAAATACTTAGTTTGATGTCAAAATTAAGGTTTTCAGGACTGATAATGGGATTGAGTACTTCAATAGAGAATACTAGGTTTATCTTATAAAACATAAAATTCTTCACCAATTTAATTGTGTGGATACACCTGAGCAGAATGGTGTAGTAGAAAGGAAGAATCAACATCTCCTTGAAGTGGCACGCTCCTTGATGTTCACTATGGGTGTCTCGTCGTCCCTCTAGGCAGATATAGTACTCAGTATTGCATATCTCATCAATCAAATGCCTTCAAAAATTCTTGATTTTGCTACTCCTATGGGGTTGCTTCAAGGGTCAGTGTCTATTTACTCTATTCCTCCAAAGGTGTTTGGTTGTGTGTGTTTTGTACATAATTGTCGGAAGACCATGGGAAAGTTAGATCCAAAGGCATTGTGTTATGTCTTTATTGGTTACTCTGCCACCCAAAAAGGATATAAGTATTATAATCCTCAGTCCCGGAAGGTGGATGTTAGATGGATATCACATTCCATGAGACTGAGTCATGTTTCTCCACTCCTCTACCACCTCTGTAAGCGGAGCAGTGTATTTAAAAAAAAATGTTAAAGAATGGATTCTTGCTCGTAACTCCTAATCAAGGCTTGAGTCAAGAAAAATCTAGCCTGGGGGAGTCTTAAGGAGAAACACCTTGTCAGGGGGAGCAGACTACTTGTGGAAGGTTAGATAGGGAGGATTTCTAAATTTGTTTCTTCTGACTCTTTGACTTCCTCCTATCATGCTTTTGTTTCGTCTTTTTCTTTTATATCTCTTTCTCAGAATTGGCATTAAGTTCTTGCGGAACCCAAGCACAAAACAACAATGATAGAAGAAATAAGAGTTTTGGGAAAGAATGAATTCATGAGCTTATATCTCTTTTTGTCTGGAAAAAATTAGTAGGTTATAATCGGGTGTTCACTGGCAAGTACAATGCAGATGGTACAGTGGATAGATATAAAGCAAGGCTGATAGCGAAGGGATTTATTGAAACATCCTAGCATTGACAATCAGAAGACATTTGCTCCTGTAGCGAAGATGAATTTTATTCGTGTTATCCTTTCTTGTGTTATCAATCTGGGATGAGATTTACAATAACTGAATGTAAAAAATGCATTCCTTCATGGAGACGTAGAAGAGGAAGCGTACATGGATATTCCTCCAGGTCTTTTTTCTCCAACTATAGAGGAAACAGTATGCAAGCTAAAAAAATCCCTTTATAGACTAAAGAAATCTCCTAGAGTGTGGTTTGACAGAGTTCATAAGGCAATGATCAAGTTTCAGTACTGGCATGGTCATGCGGATCACACAATATTCATCAAATAAGGGAGTGGTAAGATCTCAATTCTTATAGTATATGTTGATGACATAATACTTACAGGTGACAATGTAGAGGAAGTGTCCAAACTGAAATTCCATCTTGCTAAAAAAATTGAGATCAAGGATTTAGGGCAGTTAGGCTATTTTCTAGGGATTGAAATGGCCAGATCAAATAAAGACATTTTCATCTCATAGAGGAAGTACATCCTTGATCTCGTGAAAGAAACCGACATGTAAGTTGTCGACCTGTTGACTCACCTATTGAGACAGACATAAAATATACAATGGCCGTTGTTAGCCAATTCATCCATGCTCCTCGGGTTCCCCATCAAGAGGTAGTTCATCGTATACCGAGGTATCTCAAAACATTTCCTGGCAAAGAAATATTATTCTCAAAGTAAGATCATCTGAGAATAGAAGTTTTCACAAATGCAAATTGGGCAAACCCCATTGATGATAGGAGATCCACTACAAGCTACTGTACCTTTGTAGGAGAAAATCTAGTTACTTGGTGGAATCCAGTGCAGAGGCAGAATACTGGTTTATGGCTCATGGTATTTGTGAGCTTAGGTGGCTGAAAACCTTCATGGAAGACATGGGTGTCCCTAATGGTGAACCTATGCGCCTATATTGTGATAATAAAGTTGCCATAAATAGTACTCACAACCCAGTTCAAAATGTCTAAACAAAGTATATTGAGATTGACATATATTTCATTAAAGAGAAGCTAAATGATGGGCTGATTTGCATGTCATTGTGACGACCAAGGAACAACTAGCTCGTGTTTATTAAGGGGCTTAGTAGTAGAATCTTTCATTCTGATACATGCAACTTGGGCATGAGAAATATTTCTACTCCAACTTGAGCAGAAGTGTAGAATGTTAAGTTATTTCAATTAAGGGTATCATTGTAATCTTCACTTTATTATGAGTTAATATAAATATGAGTGATAAGAGGATAGGCTGATTAATTCTCATTCTCCTTTTTTTTTTTAATACCTTTACTTTTTTTTGTTGGAGTTAGAGGGGGAGGAGGGAGGAGGGAGGGGACCTGAACCCTTGATCTCAAGAAGTCAAGGGTTAATTCTCATTTTCCTAAACCCAATTCTCTATTCTCTTTCTTCTTGTCTCTCTTTCTTCTGATTCTAAATCCTAAGATTTAAGATCTTCAAATTTCAATTGATGGTCCTCACGGGGATGATCAAACTCAGGACCTTTACGTTTCCGAACCGAGCTTTTGCCCATCTCATCTTAAAGCTACAGAATTCCCTTGACACATGCAATCTTGTTTTACCTTTATGGGGCAGCTACTCGGATAAATCCCTAATGATGGCTCTCACAGGGATGATCCAGACTCAGGAGCTCGACCTTATATAAAAGATCTTCTGCCCATCTCATCCATCCCTTCAGGTTATGTAGTCATGACTCGGGATTATTAATAACCACAACGTAATTGAGGAATACCTAAAGGAGAAGTCTATAGACCTGATTTCCTGGTATAGTTCGATTCTGAAAATTTGAAATAATGGTTTTTGAAAGTTTTGCCAGTTTTGGTTTCGGGGATTGTATGCAGCCCTAGCAATCAGATTTAACAAATAGATTCAAATTCCCTAACAATCATATTAATGTTCTTGTTCTTGTATTTTCACTCACTTCAGTAGTTCCTTTACCTATATGATCTCTGTGTCTTGGCAATCTAAGTGTTCACTTGTTTGAAAATAGTAATCAAAGCCATAGTTTTTATTTAATTTTTTGATTACTTTGTGAGCAAATCTACGGAATTTCGGTGCATGTATTTTTGGCTGGAGGAATTTCAGGATTTGATTACTTAATTTGGATGATCTAAAGTTTGCAATGCTTGCTTTAATGTTTAGTTTTAGGCCAGTTTATATTTTTCAGGTAATTTGTTTACTAGTTGGATGGGCTCTTCCAACTCGTTTATATAGGTGCTTGTTATTTGTGCTCCTTAAATCCATTAATATATTAATAAAAACCTCTATCGTTCAGATTGACGTGGACATTGGCTCATCATCCGTAGCAAGGGGTGTCATTGGTCTTGTCCTTGGATATATCACAAGCATTGTTGTCGATCTTGCAATCTTGATAGAGGTTTGTGTATACTTGTTACTGTTTACTGTGGAAAATTTCTCTCAATATACGTACGGGTTCTTCCTGTGGGATAGGCTTGTAATTAACTTCAGTTTCAAGCTCTGAATAGCTTACCTGGTGTTTTATGTGGTGCAATGTTGAATTTCTCTCAATATATATACCCTACTATATATTTTTTTTGAACAGTTCCTACTATATATTGACAGCATCTGTTCTTACAGGCAAAAGAAGAGGCAGAACTCCCAGAATACATCCTTGGAACTGTTCGACTAAATCGTCTGAGGGTCAACTCTGCTGTACCTTTGGAAGTTTGATGTTTCAATAGGTCGATACGCTCTATTCATGTTGTTCACCATAGTTAAGAGAATATTTTGTTTGGGTCCATTCCAGTGATGCCCATTGTCATTGTGTAGGATATTGATTGTATACGAGGGATCTGACAGTCGAAAATCAATCTAATATATGAGGAGAAAGCCTTTTTGCTGCTGCATTCCTACACTTGCACTCTATATCAGATCCTTTTGTATGTTTGGTCCCTTCTTCTGTTTTGCTACAAAAACCTTTTACTTAGCTCAACCTTGTCTTATAGTTGGACTGTGTTTTTCATTCATATTGGACGTGTGGATCAGGGTTCTAAGGTTCCCTGATATGTCTGTTGCTTTTATTTTGAGTTATGTTCATTTGGGATCAATCCTAAAATTTTAGAATCGGTCTTAATTTTTCTCGAGTAACTTGACCCAGGTACATGCGAAGAAATGATCTAAAGGGCTTTAGTTGTATATAGACCATTTATATGCCTACAACTGTATAATTAGTACAAGTAATGGTGATAGTTAGTGACCTAAAAGTTAAATAATAGTATTCATTGGCATAAATTTATTGGGCTAATTTTAGTGGGCATCTTGACATTATTCTACATTATGGTGCATTCTTATTTGATCCATAGGGTTACATATTCTATAGTCATTGTGAGAATTACTGGGTTAATAGGCTAATTATTTTGGACTAGAAGTTACAAATTTCATAGACCTATAATATATAGAGTCCAACTAGCCTATTCTTCGATCGTGTAAATCAAGTACTTTTTGAATGTTTATTTCTCTCTTGTATACTCTAGTTTATATTGTACTTCTTAGACATAGAAATGTGTGTGTGAAGTTTTTAGTTCTCAAGATTGTATAGCCTAAGAGAAGTTATTATGAATAGCTGAGTTGTTGTATCCTGAAACGGTGTGTTGTGATCTATTATACATAGTACTTTATCTGTGGTGACATGAACTATCTTAAACAAATCTGAGATTTAGGTAGTATTTGATAAAATTGAAAGTTAAAAGTTTAAAAACTAAAAACTGAAATTTGAATTCGTAGTAGCCCATTGAAATTTAAGTAATGAATTAATCCAAACTGTTTGATAACGATACATAGCTTATGTTTGAAAATAAATAAATTTTTAATTTTACCCTTTTCACTCTTTAATTTAAAAATATTTATAAAATATGTTACATTTAACAAACATGATAATAAAATTAATTTAAGTTAAATTGATTACTTAAAACTATCAATTGTCATAAATTTTAAAAATTACAACTAAGATACAAATCAAAAGTTTAGTTGCCTTGCAATTTGTTCACATAAATTGAGCATAAAAATTTGAACACAATAACACCTAATAAAAAAATTATAATAACTAATAAATAATCAAAAAATATTGAAAAAAAAGTACAATAAAAGGCGCGTGTGTGTATAACTGTGTGTGTGTGCAATGCATGTGCCTCTGTGTGTGTGTGTGTGTGTATAATTATATATGTGTATTTTTGTTGGACAAGACAAAGAGAAGAAAAAAGATGAAGAAGAAGACAAAGAAGAACTTACCTACTACCCGTTGAAGAAGATGATCGGCCAGGAGGACAGATAGGTTAGAGATTTTAGAGAGAAGACTAATTAGAATTTTTAAGGCATAATTGTCATATTATAAATATTATTAAAAAGGTTTTACTGAGCGCTTTTAGTTTTTAAAATTAATTAAGAGATCTCCTACTTAATATTGTACCATATTTTTAAGGAGCACTTAATATATTAAGAGAGTTTAAATTTTAGTTATTAAACAGACTTAATTAATAAGTATCGAATATATTTATTTTAAGTGCTGAATTTGGATTAACAAACACACTCTTAGTCTGCGTTGCAACCCAAACTTAATACTTTATCAGGTATATAATTTATAAGTTACCTCTAATTGAATAATGATCGAGGTAAGTGTGACGACCCTCTCAATTTGATGTTTACGAAATTGTATGAATAAAATGTTTATATCTAATTATTATTTAATCTAGTTCCAAGTTCCAACATATACAAGTCTCATTTAAGTGATATTTGAACCTTATAACTTCCAATTGGGACCTATGATGGTTGACAAGCACTATCTTCTTGCAATATTTTACCTACTGTATGATTTTTGGTGCTGAATGATTTTGGGACACTCTCGCACTGTGTGTGTGTCTCTTTGCTGTCTCTACATTCATTTTTTAGTCAATGGGACCATTATTAAAAAAAATAAAAATTTGTGTAAAAGGATAAGCTCTTACCTAAAAGAAGAAATTGAATTGAAACAATTGCCCCTTTTCCGATCAACCACTTTTATACTTACTCCACCTACAATCCCACATTAGCTTTAGTTTAAATGAAAATACATTTACTTTTTGATTGATTGATTCTTTTTTTGTGCGGGTTGACAATTATTTTTTTAGATTTAAAGTTACTTGAATATATTTTCATATATTTTTTTAATGGTAGATTACTTGTTATAATTTCAAGTGAGACCCATTACTTAAAATTCTGTACTTCACCAATTTAAAGTGAGTTATCTACCATTAGCAAAAAATAAAAGACCTATTGGGCATCTAATACTTATCTTTTGTGTTGAATGTTTAGTTTTTAGTCTTTGGTTAGAGTAAATTACACTTGTCCTTCATGTGGCTTGAATTCTAAACTTTTAATCTTCTTTTGAGTTCAAATTTTACAATAAAAAAGAGAGACACTATTTAAATATTTTAATTTTATTTATCTTTAACCATAAATTATGTCTCTAAAGCTAATAAGATTAAAACAATGAAATAAACAACTCAAAGGTAAAATAATCCAACCTGACACGATATAACTTTAACATGACACGAATACAACACGTCAACCCCCATTGAGATCTCTACTTCAATGCAGCTAGTTTAGCAGTGGGATCTTACTCACCAAAAGTAGAGTTGCTAGTCTTAGAACAGATATATGTTGCGATTACTTGGTGATTGTACTGTATTGTATGATTAGATTAAGATAGTAAGCATAAGCTCCTACTCTTTGGGCCTTTAATGGGAATCCCCTTTAATTGATTTCTTTTTCTTTTTCCTAAAAAGATGTGTTGTTCTTACCCCTTGATCCAGAAGGTGGGTGCATGTCTTTGTCAAATATGTCTGGGGAAAACTTTTCCATGATTCTTTTTTTTTTTTTTTTTTTTTTTTTTGAGGAGTAACATTATGAAAATCTAATTTGAGAAATTAATTAAATATAATTATTAGATTACTTATAAGTTTTAATGATTGATGAAACTCACTTTCAATCCAACAATTATAATTAATTACATCCTTTAAATTAGATTTAAATTCCCAAAATTAAGTTGAGTCCTTCATTGGGAGCAGGTTCATGGCAACAACTACTTAATTTGGATCTAAGCTAAAAGGTAATGCTTTGTTGACTGGTATGCATGGGTGGGTTAGAAATTTGTGCTCAAAGTTGGACTGATCTGAAATTTGTCTGCTTACTTACTCTTTTATTATTTCTTTCTTTCTTTTTTTTTTTTTAATTTTTTTGATGCAGAATAGATGGGTGTGAAAATTGGGTTGACTGGATGGATTTTTAGAGGTCAATTCATGATTAAACTAAATTATAAAATTATTTATTTAAGCTTAATCTGAATTTGAATTCAATCCAAACTCTTCAATTCGAGTACTGCCCATGATTAACCTTTTGAAGAGGGTGAAGTGGGTTTACATAACTCAACTTGAAATTCATATTGAAAGCGGCTGAAATTCGAGTTTGATTCCTATGTTACACCACTCTGATTGAAAAACAGATTAAATTACGTTTAAACCCACTTATTCAGGTGGTTGGTGTTGGGTCTAGAAAACCCTAGATGCCAATCTGTGAAGTATTTGAATTCATGGACGGAACTAGTATTTTTATTCTTGGGACACACAGTAAATATTGAATACAACAATAATAATATGTCAGTATTAAGAAAACAGAAAGCAGGTAAGGTTAACCTCATTTAGATAATGAGTAATGCTATATTAACTTAAAAACTAGACTTGATAATCTCAACCATTGATTTCACTGTGGATCCCAGTATTTATTGGGACCTACTACCTATTCAATGGTTGAGATTATCAAGTCTAATTTTTAAGTCTACTTTTTAAATCTATGTAGCATTACTCTTAGATAATTATTTGCTTACATTACAAAGAGGAAGAAGTAGTTATTTGCTTATGTAGAGGGTTGATTATTAATTTTAGTGGGACCCATTTGTTTTGATATTATTGATTGGTTATCACGTCAACATTATCACGTGGTATTACTGTTGTAATGAATATTTTTCTCACCAACTTGACATAGTCAAGAATTTTATTCAATGAGATTATTCATCAAGATATCATTAACGATAAATTTTTAGTTATGTTGAAGCTATAAAAAAAATCAACTTTCATAAAAATTTATTTGTGATTGCGTCCATTTATTCTTACATTTATAACAACATGCTATGATTATAAATATAGTGTGATTGCAAGTAATAACTTCACACAACACTATAATAAATAGGATATACGTCACATTTGTAAACCGATATTAGAGTTATTTCACTTGTTTTTCATTATTTTCATTAAACCCATCAAAATAAGTATCTTCTTTTGTAAGAGCAACATTCGTCCATATGATTACATCTATCATTTAACAAGCCACTATGCTTTTTGAAATCTCTAAAATATCCAATATATAAAATTTCTTGATGACATAAAAGGGAGTATAAGATATTTTGAAAACTTAAGGGAGTTATAGGAATTTTTAAAATGTGAGGGGGATGTGGTTTCGCAAGTGCTTGATTTTAAATCGGGTTGTGATTTTTTTTTTTTTTTTGTTCAAGCCCAACCCGATAATTAAATATTTTATGTTGGACTCAAATTGAATTTTGATTAACCCACCCCACTTACAATTCTTGGCAGGAGTTTGTGGTCCGGTTAAATTACTCCATGGTCTAAAAGATCTAGAGTCAT